GCAGTACATACAATTTAAACGCTGTAGTCTAATACACAAAGAGGCTTTCAGCAACAACATTTCTTCCATGTCATTAAAGATTGGATATGAGCATCTACTTCTGCTTTGCAAATTTTGCACAACAGATTTTTTTACAGGTATCAGTTAGTTTTACTATCAAATTTATAATAGATTATAGAGTTTCTCAGCAAGATGCAAAGAAGCTCCAAAGAAAATACTGGTGACATTTAAAGGAAAAGACGTAACTCTCTTTATGAAAATCCCTTTCTTTTTCTTTGTGAAGGATTGAAAGAAGAGTGAAAAATAGTTCACATCCACAAAGGCTGTATGTTAATTGTGTGCAGCGTTTGAACAGAGGTTTTGGAGGACATGAGGTGAAGGCGATACAATGTTTATCTAGTTTGAGCATTTGGGATGTGCAAAACATCATGTGACACATCAGAAGTATGCAGTGGGGTTGAAAAATGAAACCCGGGCATTTCTCTGGTTTTTCGTAAAGCTCAGTACCACAGACCTGCTTGGAATACTTGCCCAAAAGATAAGCAGGAGACAGGTCATGAAGTGTTTACACCCCCAAATAAATTCCTTACAGTAGGAATTACAGACTAACAATTTTAAAAAGTTTTCATCCTTATTTTCCTATTGCCAAAGTTTTAATTTGGAACTACCTGGAATTCTTCTGCTTTATTCTGACCAGCTGCAATTAAATCAAAACGGACACTCTAATCTTACTTGAGATCAAATTATTTTAAATTACAAGGACAAAAGCAGTCCCAAACAAGATTTGGCTGTCATTGCTCAAAATGCTGAACGTACAAATGGTATGAAAACATCTTTGCTTTGAGAAGGTTAAAATCTGAACAGCACTGACATATGGTTTAAAGAATTTAAAAAAAAAAAACAAACACTGTTATCTCCATTACACAGATGGGAAATTGAGGCACAAAAAGAATAAAAACTTGTCCAAGGTGAAATAAGAAATCTCTTCAGATACAATTTTTCTCTCTAATGTACCTCAGTATAAATTTATAGTCACCTAATAAAGGAATGTGGTAGTCACCCACATAATATACTTCATCATAGGAATCTTTTTCTTATCATTATTTCTACAATAAGTTCAAACTAACAACACCAATCTGCTCTGAACACTGCTTAGCTAGCCAGCTAAAAGTATTATCTGTGTCAACAGGATAAAACATACCAGTGCTTATTCTTTGAAATACTTTATTTCCAACTAGGAACTTTACAAAGGCTCCCTTTAGAAGCTAGAATTTCTCTTTGCTTTTTCCCAACTTCCAATATGCTGTCACTTGTTTTTCCTTTGGATAATATGCCTATGAAGGACACTAAAAGTGTGCACGTGCCAATTAAAGAAAGCAGAGTCCATCGTAAAGCTGTCTAGACTATTTTGAAAAGGATAAAAGTTAAATTAAATATTCCAGCCTCAGAAGCTGTCACCACAAAGGAAAGCTGTGCCATTGATCTGGTATCAAACATGGTTTGCAGTATGTGTGTGTGGTGGTCGTGGCTCCCTTAATTACAGTGGATTAAAGCAGGAAGAGCTCTATTGATGTCTAGACTTGTAGCAGGAACAACTCAGCAGGGAGATTAAGAGAATCAGGTCCTTCCACTGCAGGAAGATGGTGTTACACTTTAGTGATGACTTGACAGGAGGAAAATTCCAGTATTCATACATGATAAATCACATGCATCGAGCTGAGCGTACAGCTTGCAGTCAGCACTTCGCTGTGAGCAGTGTAAGCACCAGGACCATGGTGCGAAGCATCTGCTTACAATCTTCCGAGCTTACTAATGATCTCAGCATTTGCTGTCTTCTGATGAATAAGGAATGCCAAGTGACTATTTTAGAGGCAGTTAGAGGGTCAGGGAAGGTGAATCATGTTGGCATTATCTAAGGTAGGAGAGCAAGAGGTTGCTTCCAAGCACCTTTAAGGAAACACTTTCTTCCAGCCCTAGACAGCAAATCCATGTTACCACTCATATAAATAAGCTGAGAGCCAGATGTGGTTCAATAGTTTCTCTAGCCTCCGTCACAGTCAGATTCATTCTTGTCTGCTGTCTTACCAATGCCAATTGCTCTAGGTACACACCCCAGTGGCTACATCCTTCTTGCATAGAAGTGGCTCTCACTAAGCCTTATTCAGCCAGAAAAATAACTGCGTATGTGAAAATTAATTACACAGCCACCATTAATTATTTACCTGTTGTGATAGGAGCTAAAATTAAAATGAAGAAGCTGGTTTAACTGCTCATTGCCTTATGTTCCTCTCTCACATAAGGAGGAGGAAAGAAGTACTGCTTTTAAATTATCTCAGTGTTTTGCTCACATTGAAATTATTTTTGTTGCTATGAATTCGAATTCATTCATTAAAGGTGAGCTTTTCCAAGAGTAAGTCTCTGCAAACTTATTTTCAGCAAAGTCCACTTTAATAATTCCCCAGACACTAACCTCCAGACATTACCCCTACACTTCGATCCCAACAGTCCAATCTGCCCCTGACACATATGCACTACGAGGATGATACTGAGAAAACAGGCTGTACATTGCTCAGCCTTGCTAAGGGACCAGGACTAACATATTGATTTAAAAGCACTCTGAAGATGAAAAACTATTCATAACTATTTCTTAGAACACATACTTTGTGTCATGGTGAAATAAGTACCGAATATCTAATTTGCTTTTTTATAACATTGATATGCACATGATAACATGAAAAGTCTTTACTTCTCATGAGTCCTGCCTTATCACTCATAGCATTTGTTTCTGAGAGTTAGCATTCAATTATTTAAAAATGCAAACAAAAAATGTATGACAACTAATACTGGACATATTTACAATTTGTTCTAAATTCTCTCCATGACCAAATGTGCAAAGTGCCAAGTAACATCTCTTCCCAGCAGCAGTTAAAGCACTCAGAACCTCCCTGACAGCACCTAGCATCTTGCAGAATAAGGCACGTGACACCAAAAAAAAGCATTGTGAATGTCAGTGAAACACAGTCATCTCTCAACTAGAACATGTTAGGTGTTCCACAGAGGGTACCAAGTCTGTTTAACAATTTGAGACAGAAAAGACAGACATGCAATGCTTATACCTCCAGAAGGATTTTAACTCAGCAGGATACAACGGTCCAGAATATCATTTTACCATATTCCCCTGACATGGAAGGCAAATAACATCTTTAATTATCATACAAGGTCAGTTTTCAGTGTTGTGCCTCCTGTTAAGAAAGTCTCTCTAACTGCATAACTGCATAAAAACATTGCAGGTTTATCCTTTATATTACCAGCTCATAGGAAACTTACTATGAGCTAGAATGCCATCTTTTGTGCCTTCCACTCCAACTTCAGCAGTCTACTGAGACCTCCAATGGAAGAGCAAAGAGGGTTTACATATTGCAAAAAGCACAGCCCCAGAGAAGCCATCTGTGCTCCAGTCTGAGCAAGCCCAGCTCCCCCAGCTCCTCCTCACAGGGCAGGTGCTACAGCCCCCGTGATGTTGTACGGTTTTGGGCTCCCAACATTGGATTCAGTAATCCAGATGTGATCTAAAAGTACTGAGTAGAAGGGGATAATGAGTCCCTTCAACCTGTATCTCTGATCCTGTTCATAGAGCCCAGGCTGCCATTGGCCACCTTTGCTGCCTGGACTTGCTACTGCCCCATGTCCGTCTTGCTGGCTACCCCCCAGGGCTTTTCCCACAGAGAAAAGACTGCAACAAGTCTCCATTTGCCAACTTCTATGAAAGCAGCAGATGGCAAATGACAGAGCTCCACAGCTGATGCTACACAGCAGTGGGCACACAGACAGCTACAACAGTTCAGCCACTGTCAACTGTGGTTACTTGACCTCAGGACTGAACCCAGATACACATAATACTGAAAAACACAGCAAACAATATGACCCCATTGGTATTACTTACTTGTTAGTAGATGGCGTAACTGCATACAATTAATACATGAGAACACTTCATGTCTTAGAACTTACTTAAAGAGTTATTGTCAATTGTTACAGTCCTGGAAGTAGAGCTGTGTAACGTCAGCTTTGCTTCACTGCAAATGACTATCACAAATAAATCCGGAATTATTGCTTTGAAACAGTTATCTTTAAAAGGAGTTACTATTTTGCCTCCTTACAGTTTCCTGTAAAATGTAGACAATTGCCCAGTGGTTAAAGCTCAATCTGTACAGTTTACTCTAAAACAAGGAAGACGATCAGTTTCACAGAAGTGAAACAGTTAAAACAACCCCAGTCAAAAATTAAGTTCTTAGTATTAAGCTCTGCACCTTTTTTTGGTTGTTTTTTTTTTTTCCTTTTATGACATATTTTTATCAGCAACACAGAAAAGCAGTAAAGCTTACTAACAACTTGGGATGGAGAATAAGCTGGATAGATCATATAAATAGCCAATAGCCAGATATCTAATTTTGACACCTATTAAGAAAATTGCACTTCAGTGATGGACGGTATCATCTTGACATGCAACACTTCTAAAAGTTTATTGCAGCAAACATTCTTCAATATGAATGTAAGTTTCCAGAATGTTTCATGTCTCAGATACATCCTGCTCTGTGTTTCTCAAGCTCTCTATCCACCAGGCCCAGAGGTGACAAGAGTGTCTATTGTTCTGTAGGACCCCTATAAAACCACTTGAGATAAATCCAAGACAAAGGCCTGCACAGATGCAAGTCCATTTGGACTCAAAGCCTTTGAAACTTCTCTAATCACTGACATTAACCTGGGTATTGCACAATACACCTCCACTGACTCCACTGAAAAATCAGTCTGGATTGTCTCAAAGGCACAAAATATATGTATAAAAGGAGACAGATGTAGTAACAGCACACTGATATGTCGCTGCCCATATCCTAAATTTCCTTTGTTGGAGCAAACATTCCTTGGTTCTTTGTCGGTATTAGGATGGTCAGTAAACTTTCCTTCCAACTAAAGGAAACAAATTCCCTTCAAAAAATACATACCAAGTACATTAGCCGTACACTGGAGAATTCCTGAGACATCTTCAGTTTCTTCATTGCCAGAGCAGTCTGTATAGGAGCATCTGTTTGATATATTGTGAAAGTTCTTCTCTGCATCCCTGTAACTACAGTAAAAAAAAAGTTAAAAAGTTATAGCCTATCTTTCTACAAATGCAATGTCCACAAATGTCTTTCAGAAGTGGTGATAAAGGATGCCTTTAGCCTCCCTTGTCTCTTCCCTCTTCTCCCCTCCATCACCCCCTTTCCATTCATGCATTATCACACACAGATGACAACACATTAGTAGCCTGGGTATCTCAACTATTATACTAGAATCTGGAATATTATCTGTAATGAGAATGAAGACTAAAATAGTACCACAGGCTGAAGCATAAGGGAAGGGTATCAGACACATCTGTCTTACACGTCATTCCCACGGGGGTGTTGTCTCTAACAAAGTTCTACAGTAAACTCCAAGCAAGATGTTTATGAGGCTATGGTGAGTATCTATTAAGAAGAATAAATCTTCCACAGCACATTACATAAGCACTGCAAGTATAAAACCTAGCTTTCTCAGTGCATTATCTTCTGAACAGATCTCATCAGAAAGAAGGATGTCAAGCTGCAATTGACTACGCTATCAAGAATAAAGTTTGTGCTATAGCCTGATAAAGAAAAAATGTAAAAGAATTCCACCACTGATGAAAGGCACAGAGCTATGGTCTAATCAGCAAGAAAGCAGCTACCATCTAAATTATTCTATTTGATTTAACTTTGCTGGATTGTTTTTCCTTAATTAAACAGAAACAGAACAGAAGCTTAAACTATGTTTAAAACAAAGCTTTATGCAGGTGATAATGACAACAGAAGAGGGAATACAAGTGAAGAAAATATTGCAGCAGAGTGATAATGCACTTGGCAAAATATAAAATTGATTTAGCTCAAACATAGAAAAGCTTATCTAATGAGTATTTTCTTAACAGTTTTGTTATGCTTTCATACTTTGTTCATACTTCATAAATCCTGAATAGCAGTTTTAAGGATTGGACTCTTCATCTGGTTAATGCCTGCAAAATCTCAGCACCTGGGTTGCCAGCACCTGTGGAAAAGGACTACCGAGGATTCAAAGCCTCACATCGGGTTTCCCCCCAACAGGGAAACTGGTTCTCCATGGGGAGTAAAGCATACTGGGAAGAGC